GTGATTCCCTTGATGGCCATGCTGATCTTAAAACTTTTATCATAAGTCTCATCTATAAAAATTAAAACATTAAAGGAGTAGGTACCTAACTAAATGACCTTTTATATTCTAAAATGTGAAAAATACCTACAATAAAACTTTTGTGGTTGAAAAATGTTTTGAGAAAGTAGAATTATTTTTTAAATTACTTTAATTTGTATTTGGACATAATGATTATGTCCACATACAGATTAAATGTAATTAAAAAAATATTATAATATAAGTGGGTAGTAGCCAATAGGTACGTAAAAGGTATTATATATACAAAAAGTGGTTCCTATTTGAAATACACAGTCACACAGATACATTTAAAAAATGAGTAAACCTATTATAATATAAAAATTACAATTAGCTACCGACTTGGTATCTATTATAGGTACCTATTTAATTATCGGGATTTAGCATTTTAACCTATACACTATAGGTAGAGTTTATGATTTAAAATTAGTTAGAATTTGTTGACCTTAAAATGAGTGAACTTTGGTTATTATTAACCTTTAGACTTAAAATGCATGAAAAATATTTTCGAACAATTGTTTGCATAGGTGCTTTGTGGAGGAAATAAATAAATACCTAATATCTAATCCTTGTATAATGCAACTCGCAGATACGTACGTCAGCACCCAGCAGGCTGTTACTCCGTATAGGTACCCAAGTTTTTCAAAATATTATCATGATTTAGAGCTTGGATAGTTGGGGTACGTCTATAGTATTATAAATTTATAAACTATAATAGATAGTTGGTGCATAATACCTACCATCTTTGTTGTCCGTCAGTACGACTGCGATTAACCACAACCGTTGATTATACACCGACAGACTAGGAGTTTTCATGACGAATGGACCCTGTGGCAAAGATCCGTTCGTGTGCTTCAATACTTCAACTCCGCTTATTTTACTCGTCAGTGTAATCGGAGGTCCTGTAACGAATTTTTGTGAAAAAAAAAGATTGTAAAATAACATAAGATTCTTAAACAATACCCCAATAAGTAAAATCAGTGACGAACTGAACTTAAATTTTAAATGGCGCATTTTAACAATAAATTAAGTACTAAGCATCCGCCCTTCCCATATTTCTCTATATTTACTTATAACAAAGTTATGAAGTAAATAAAATGTGGTCGAAACATCCAAGAGGTCGGGTCTTAGCACATAGTTCTGTGACATAGTCACGGACTATAGTCTGGATAGGGCCCTTTGAAAAGTTGACGCAGTTGCGACAAAATTGAGCTCTTCAGCCCTCCACTGAGTACCTATAATTATTTTTGTTGATTCGTGAGGTTATTGTTGGCCAAATAGTAAAACACGTAGTAGATTCGAACATATATCTATATAAATTATAATATAAGTATATAGCCTATAGATAGATTGAATTCAAATATGAATAATTTTATATTAAATTTATAATTGCATACATATCTTAAAAATTATTTTTCCACTTTAACGACTCATTTATCAAAATTGATTCTCAATGGATGTTCAAATAAAAATCTGTCAAATATAGGTAAAGGTGCCTAAACTACCTCTACCTATCATTTTTTAATTTGGCCTTACCCGCGAGAACGTGCGAGAACATTTAGTATTACCTATACTTATGCATTATTAAATTATTAACTTATGAAATTGAAACTTAGCATTTTGTGTGCAATTTAATCGAATACAATATTATTATTTATGTGGAAATATTAAAAAATTTTGTTTGAAAAGGGAAAATGTACATTTAAATAACAATGTATAAGAGCTATTATTATTACTACTTATTAAATCATGTATATTATATTATATATAAACATAATAAATGCATATTTTAATATTTTCTACCAATCAAGTATTGAGTCCTGGACTCGGAGTTCGGACTATTATAATAGGCAGGTATTTATTTAATTATACATAAATATGGAGCAACTAACTAACCAGTCAATCCAATGAATAACACTAGTCCCATGGCCGTCAACAGGACGATGAACACCATTACGAATTCCCGTTTGTTCATCGAATACAAACGCATGTGCACCGATCTGAAAACGTAAAAATATAATACATTAATAATAATATTTATTATGGTTAATATGTTAGTTACTCTTCAGTGTAAAATGTAGGTACTACCATATTAAATATACATATAATATAAATATAGGTTATTATTTATACATGCAAAATTTGGGTATCACGTATTGCGATTTTTAGATTACCGTTCGCATCGGTCGTGGTGGTAGGCCGGAGAGATGTATCGATTGAAATCACTGAACAGGTCGTTGAATTGAGATACTAGATTTCTGACCATTGTCGAGCAACTGCCCGTCGGCAAGTTGTAACTTGTCTCCGAGCTTTCCATCGAATTAATTTCTCAACCGTCTGGCCTGTTGTATGTTTATACCAGCTATTATTACAACAATAATAATAATGTATTAAATCAGGCCGTGAATTTAATGCACTATGCGCAAATGTCGAAGCCTTTAATATCCGCAAAAATGTTAAAAAATTACCCAAAACTTGAAATTAAAGTTTTAGAATTGAATTCAACGTTAAGCATCATTCAAATGAAAAATACTACGTTTTACTATACACCGGAAACGAAGTACACCTAGCTATACAAATTCACAGCCTTAATAATAATAACTAATTATATATTATGTATAAGACATATTAATAACGATCATAGATTGAAATTCTGATATAGATCCATAGTGTTCTATAATAGTTAAATATAGATATATAGTATTTACCAGCTATGTCTGTACTGTGCACATCATTACAATTTACAATACAATTAAGTCATTATTAGGTAATGAAACGTTTTATGAAATGTGATGTGTGATTGATTTTATTACAGGACGAATTCATACAAGTACTTAGCACATAAATATAAATTATAATACAATTATAACACTGTACCCGGTGGTTCCGAGCAATTTCCGATTTCGACGATAGCTAAACACTCACCATGACTCGTTTGATCTATTTTACTGATTTACACTGACGTATATCTCGATTCCATGGGTATTTTTTATGTGTTTACTCCAATCGTATGTCCGCCGTATTACACATGCATCCGGGCTTCGTGCATAAATACACTCTTCCGCTCAAAGGTCTATAGTGTGTGTGCTAACAGCTGTTATTGATCCAACCCTCCGTTCACAACCCTTCTCTTTTCCGCAGAACGAGCTGTCCCCGCCGTCGAGAAAGCCACGTATTGTAGAATACAAATTTACGCTCAGACAAATGTGTATGCGTATTAAGTATATAAAAGTATGTTGTTATGATATGATCGATCCCTACAAAAATATACCCTAACGAGTAACTACCTATACCTATACCTATAGAAGTTATGAATTATATGATATTATAATATTTAATATTAATTAATTATATAATTGTTCTATTTCTTAGATTAAAATAGTATTCACAGATATTAGAGCAATTATCAATCTACCTACCCCGCTCCCCTAAAATTAATTGAACAAAATAATTCTATGAATGATATGACAAATCATATAATTTACTCTTATTTTACAATATTATTTCACTTTTGTTAATAACTTTGGAAACCATTTTCATTCTTTAAACTTTTTTTTCATTCTTTTGCCTTCTATTCATATTTTACACTTGCACTTCTAAAGTTCTAACACTACAGTGCCTATTTAAATCTGCAAAAATCGTGGCTATAAGTAGTAAAAATATCGAACACCTATAAAGTCCTAAACAGTAGCCTTGGAAAAATTTAGCAATATCTATTATGTCCTGTTGTTATCATAATATGATTTCTGTAGGTGCCAGACGAGAGTGTAGACGATAGGCGTACTGCACAAGTGCACAAAAACCGTTGCAATGGGCTACAGGTACCTGCAAGAGCTTAATTATGGGGGGGGGGCTATTTAGATAATATATTATTTTATTATCTATTTATGCTGTTAACTAAAACATTATCAATAAAAAATCTACCCATGGCCTTCTTCAGATACGCCACAACTACAAGTTCAAGAGCATAGTGCTTAAAGAGAAATAGAGCGATTATTGCAAGAAAGTAATTTTTAATAACACCGTTAAATTGGTAATTGGTAGTGCCGTGGTGACGGTGGATTGATGACTAGTACGTAGATGTAAATTTCAAACAGTACTTAGATATTAGTCTAAACCTAAGTCATTCTTAAAATATAGTTTAGACGCCACTGACCAAATCTATTCTACAGTTGAACCTACACACATTGTTTATTTATAAATTGCATAATCTACGCTCAAATTATACAGTTATCTATACGACTCTACTCTATAGGTATAGGTTAGGTACCATTGTACCAATGTGAATGACTTGTACATTGTGTATTTCACATTTAAATATCTCTTCATTAAGTATTGTTGTTTTTATAAGCCACACAATTAAAACGCTATGCAATGTTGCCAACAAATACGCTATTCGACAGTGATAGTGTTGAATAGGTATTTTTATGGGGGGAAAAAAATACTATGATTTTCATATTATGAAACAGTATTATTTTTTCAAAATAACAACAAATTAAAAACAAATAGCCTGATAGATGAATAGATAACAGATAGATGGGTACTAATTTTGATTCAGAAAAATCGAAGAAGATTTCATTTGACTTATTTCGATTTTTAAATGGAATAATCCATAACATGGTAATTTATAAATATGTTTTTAATTTTTAATACAATGTTTTTGGAATTTAAAAATGTCATGTTTCAAAGAGTATAAAACAAATATTTATTCGTTGACTGAGCATATAGTAGTATAGTTAAGAATAAGTACATACTACATTTCAACATTTTTAAACATTTATAATAGTTCAAACATTATTAGCTAACGACTTTAAGTATTTAAATAAATATTTACTAATCAAAAAGTTTAAAATGTGTTAAAATATTAAGTGAAATATAATATATTTAGTAATTACTTAATACAAAAATATACTGGGTACTGAGTAGGTATACTTATAGGATATTATAAATGTGCAAATAAAAATAATATTTCCACGGTACTCATTATACAGGTAAAGCCTGGTAAGCATTATATAGGTATAAAGCCGTAAGGCTAAATTGTTTCACTAAAAATATTACAATATTCTACCAATTTCGATTGTCACGTTAGAAAAAAAAGTGTAAAAAAATAAATTGTCAATTTAAGTGTATATTTAAATAATTTAACTATTCAAATAACATTCATTGTTCCTTTATACTTTTCGATGCACATACTGAAAACAGACTACACGTATTGTTTTAACCACGTAATAACCTCGTTTGTAATTTTGTGATAACGAACAGATCGGCCGTTTTCATGTCCAAACTCGGCAAAACTCATCAGATGATTATTACACACAACTGTGGCGGATAAGCAATTATTCTATAAAAAAAAAAATGACAATTCTTTAAATATTATAAAACATTTAGCGCCATACCGATATTCTACGGCGTTGCATTTATTTTTTGGGGGTGTTATAAACGATATAGTTCGAAATATTATGATTGAATGAGTTCATACACACAACACACTATGTGTATAATGTGTAAAAGTATACTGACCTATATTTTATATTCTTTATAAGGCGTTTATGTTAAAGCTTATATTAAAAAAGTATTAAAATATATTTTATTTAGGCAGGTCTAAATATTTTGTGTTGAACCAATTACGAAACAGTCCTATATGGCTATATTTATACATTATACCTATACTATAAGAACAGAATTATTTACCTAGCATGCCCTCCCCCCATTTTTCTTTAACGATGAAGTTTTTTGAATTCTGATTAAAGAATTATTTATTTTCAATTCTTTCTACTTTTATTTTATGCCATCCAAGGTCCCCCCCTCCGAAGTCCAGGTCTAGGTACTCTACTGGTTCTGTAGTGACATAGACTTAATTTTTAGACAAGAACCACTCATTTTATTGTACTTTATCAAGGAATAATAACTACAAGTAGATGAATTTCAAAAATGTTATTGTATTCAAATCGAAATTTAAACCTAGGGCATTCATAGCAAATTACACTCAATATATCTATCGAAGATCCGAGGAGAGCTATACAGGATTGTTAAACCCAGTGAGCCATTTCTTGGCTCCACGGGGAGACGATGTTCCGTTGAAGACACCCAATGAGCTCAATCAAGGTCCTTGATTGAGCGTAGGATGTTGGTGCTTCGCTATTGTTAAGAATGACCTTTTTATAAGTTGTTAGCTCATCATTATTGTTAAAAAGGGCGCCTAGGATGTTTAACAAACGATATTGCATTAAAAATAATTGAGAAAAATGTTATTAGGTATCTTAATTTTACTATAGATTCGTTATACCTAACTGGTCATTATTATAATTATTATTATATTAAACGGTCGGGGTGCTAGATGAGAGGATTCTCAAACTAATAGATAAAATAACAATGTTTCGTCTATGGTCGAACGTGCATCAGGGTGCATCCTTACCTAAACCAAAATGTTCCAATTATACACTCGATCCAATCTTTCCTTAAAATTTAAGAGTATTCACGAGGCCTATAAAAAGCTTATTCATATATAACAATAGCGATGCTCGATGCCCTTCCTCAACGTCTTATCGCTATCAACTGTAAAAAAAAAGAAAAACAGCTGTACGCCTCGAAAGTCTGCGACAAAGGTTAATATATAAAGTTTGTGATGCATATATACTATCACAATTCATAAACCACACTTGACTTCGTATCTAATCAGACCTTTCAGGTTAAAGTACACAAAATCACATCCTTAATCAGAAACATCTATGTTTGGACTGCTGGAGTTGGAGTACCTACCTCAAAATTCTTGTTTGTCTCCATTTTACAATAGGTAATTTATATATCAATGACATGGGTATGCCACTTCAGTGAGGATTAAAAAATCTTTATTTGCTGACAACACCCTATTTTATGCTTCAAGCAACTCTATATAATGCTGTAGTGTCAACCAAAAACAAAACCTCTCGGGACCATAAGTACCTACCAAAAGATTAGAAAATAAAACAGTAAATATATCATAAACGTCAACAGTTTTTTTTATCTGAACCTATTGTGTAAGCTTTATAATACAAAATGAAAAAAACACTCCCAACTACCTGCGGTTCAAAAAGGGTTTATTTGTATTTTTTACTTATATAGTTATATCGCTGCAGGGAATTATTTAGTTTTGCTACTATATCTATATGTTGGTTGTATTTATTATTTACATACCTAATATCATTGGACTTTATTTCCCCACTATCAGATTATACATTATACATACAACTTAAGTACTTATACTATAGCGGTTGGACTTGGAAAATCTACAATAGTTTTTATTTCATAATTTCGTATTACCTATATTGTGTATGGCTATATAACAGCTGTATAGTCGTATAGTCTGCAGTATGTTGGTATATAATCCACCCAAAGTTACAGAACCAACACATAGGTACCTATAATTTATAATAGATACGTATTTTTGTATTATGAATATATAACTACTAACCATTATCTTTTTATTGATCGGACACGTCGTGGAGTTGTGATGATGGCAATGCACGTACGGACATGGGATCTGGTTCATTAATAAGTACTCGTAAAAATAATTGCTTCCATACGTCGGATGTCTGCCTAGAAACCAATACGAAGAGTCGCAATTTTCGTCCACCGGTTCGACCGCTTTGTACTTTAGCTGTTGATAGTCGATGAATGATGTGAGGCGGAACTCAGGTATCACCTATACCGGCAAAACAACAACAATTCTGTATTATAATAGGTACACAAATATATGAGCTAATGGTAGTGCACCGGCCAAGTTCCAGCGATACCAGTAAATAATAAATATCTTTACGTAAAAGAGCTTTATTTGGTTTTTCTAATCCTCATATATAGTCATATCTGGGGGATGAGATGACCGAGTGGTCTGACGCGTCCGCTGCGACGCAGCCGGTCGCGGTTCGATCCTCGGCTACCGGGCGGCATTTTTCTCCGGACAAGTCGCGGTGACCGGAGAACAAGTGCTGCCATCCCCCACCCCCGGGGCATGGCAGAAACCTACGGGTGCCCCATTCGAAATTCTGCCAAAAACAAACACACACGTGTTCCCCCCTACCGTCCCAAAA